GATTCGAACTTCTTCGGGTGGTACGATGAACAACTTACATTTGGCACTGAGCTGGATTGGGGCTCGTTTTTGATGGATGAGGATTTCCAAGGGGCTCTGTTTGCGACCCAATGAGGTAACATCCATTCCATTACTAATGCATCCGACTACAGCCAACTAATCACTTCGAGTATAAGTTGAAGGCCCCTGATCTCCTGACCCCCTGGCGCATCTCTCAAGCTTACACTTTATCGAACTATCTCACCCCCCTATCCTTCTGACACCGGCAGACCGGGCACCTTCATAACTTAGACCGAAGGTCTCTCTCAATCTCTTCAAGACCTGAGGGTCCGTCAAATAGCCTTGACGTTAAGGCTGTAGTGTTGATCTGCCAGATATTTAGCACGTACACTTGGATTGAAGATGATTCTCGTGATATGACTTACATGCCGAGCGCCGAGTTCTGATATGCTCTTCACGCCGAGGAGTCTCATTGCTGTCATTGTCTCGTCGGCCAGAACTACATTCTGATGTCAACAGATATGGCACACCACATTCTCTCGATTACTTACTTTTCAGCACTCTCTCGACGCCTTCCTCCCCACCAACCGAGAGCCCATAGAGGGCAGCTCGGCCAATGCCCACACCCTTCGCACCTAATGCCAATGCCTTCACGACATCTGTGCCTCGCTTGATGCCACCATCCACCAGCACGTCAATGGTATCCAACACCTGGGGGCAGAACTTCCGGATTTCCAGCAATACCTGAATTGGCGGGGGCGCCGTGTCGAGCGCTCGGCCACCATGGTTCGAAAGAATGATGCCCTTGACGGATGGGAACAGCGTCGCAGCGTACGCATCCTCGTGCGTCTGGACCCCCTTCAACACTATGGGAAGACTCGTGTGCCTGCAGAGCCAGTCCAGCGTTTTCCGCCACGTCAGCGCCGACTCCGTACCCCAGAGCTGCGGCGCCGCCCCGCCGGCCACCTCGGCCATCTTGAAGCGCTCGTCGGCTTCGCGTTTTCCGGGGAACGGGGCATCCAACGTCAGCACGATGAACTTGATCTGCGGGATTTTTCGAATCTGGGCCAATGTCCTCTCGGTCGCGGCTGTGTCCTTCAGCACGTAGAGCTGCCAGGCAAAGACGGCGTCTGGGCCGGCGCTCACGATTGCCGGCGGTGACATCGACGCGTTCTTGCTGATGATCTGGAGGGCGCGGAGTTTCGAGCATGCACGTGCTATGCCGGCCTCCCCGGCTGGATGTGCCAGGCGAGCCATGGCCGCGGGCGAGACGCAGATTGGCATGCCGACTTTGTTTCCCAGGATTGAGGTTTCCAGCGAACACTCCGTGCAGTCGACGAAGACCCGTGGCCGCAGAAGTATGGAGCGGTATATCTGTCCGTTCGCCGCTTTGGTGATCTCGTCGTCTGTTGCTGAAACGTAGTACGAGATTGCTTTGGGAGATAGGCGTTGCATCGCATACGACTCTATCTCGGCCAGGCTTAACATTGATGTAAGGGGTAGCAACGGGGATGGTGAGGGAGTTTCCTGTGCTGATTGCAGTACATGGGTGGATTGCTCTGTCCCTGCATCTTTGATATCAATCTTCCCTAGTGATTGGTCTGGAGTTAGGTGCTCCTCCAGTATCTCAATAGGGTGGACTGAGTCGAAGGCTGCTGAAGCGTCCTGTCCCGCATTCTGCAGCAGTATGCTTCTTCCTCCGGGATGCTTCGATACGAATGAGGTGATCTGAATACTCTGTTAGTTCGGCTGTTAAGAAGATTGATATTTGGGGTTCTCTTGGCTCACATCGTAGACCTTGCCGTGTAGAACGATCCAGCAACTCTCTTGAGTATTGTGTGCACTCACTTCAGTTCTTAGCAAGACTTCAGAGCTGCCTTCAACAAATAAAAATTTAGGAACACACCTTCACTCAGTTTCCATGTTCGATCCATAATCACCCGGGCCAATCCTCGAGCCGTATTTGCGCTGATATCTACACGGAACTTGGTTCGCTCATAATTCCATGGATGCCAGTTCCCCTGATCGCGTTTTCGAGAATAACCAAATCATTCGAATCTCGATTGATGCATACATCAGCTTCAACTGTCTCGGTACAATTGAGACATCTAACACCACGTGTTGGTCGATGGACAGAGTCCTGGTTCTTCTACGCTAAGACGGCGGACCTTAACCAGAGGCCGGCTTTTAATCACCGATTGGTCTTTCGCTTGGTAGCGGCCGGTATTTTGATTAGCCGTATTCCATTTCAGGCAGATGGACATATATAATATCGACATCCGTTTGCAACTAAAGCGCCAATAGAAACCCATTGACCAGGCTTTTCTAGCAGGGATTCGGGCTCATGGTAAATTAAATCCCCGGAAACCAGTGACGATTGAATTTGGGTTCGCAACATCAATGGTCACCCAGATCGCGTGGTCACTGGGTAGTCGGCTCTGCTCGCCTGGGAGATCGCATGGGAATGTTACTCCCCATGGGGTCCCCGCGTCTTGGATCTTACCAAGAGGGTGGAGACCTGGGGTTGGTGAGCTTTTCTCCAACCCTAAGCCTGGGTATGGACTGTTTATATAAGATGATAGCATCTTGCCTATTAGCCTTTCACATCCTACCATTATTCGCTTCCACCCCGTTCAAAGTACGAAACAAGTCTTTCGTCGTTTTTACACAGCCATGGTGGACCAAGTCAGAAAAGCCCAGACTTCCTCGGCGTCAAAGATTCGGCTGAGCCATGATACCATGGAGAAGCAGGGGCAACATGTGGCTCTCGACGATGTCGACGGCATCGAGCCCAGCGTCGAAACGTACACCGCTATTATGGCAACGAATAGGCCAAATCCTCGCGGTTCTGGTTATATCAAGCTTTATCTTCTCGCCGGGATGATCTTCCTCTGCTCTACCATGAACGGTCAGTGAACTCGGGTAGATCAAGATCAGGACTATGTCCAGGGCTGATGGCCAACAGGTTTCGATAGTTCACTGATGGGTTCAATCAATGTAAGAAACCGCCCGTCAAGCTGGTCTCCAGTCATGCCTTGGAGTTTTGTCAAATCCCATCTCAACGTTCTGCTCATGGTCCCTTTGAAACACCTAGGCTTATCATATCATTGATCGTCTTCTCTGTAGGCACTCCCGAACTATACTGGATACTTCGGACTCCCATCTGACGGAAACGCTTCGACGGGGATCGTGTTCGCTATCTTTCAGGTAAGTGAAAGCGTAGTAATTAGTAGCATCGCGAAGACTGACTGTCCCAGGTCGGACAAATGTGCGGTGCTCTCTTCATCTGGATGACTGATTGGTACGGAAGAACGTGGCACATCTTCTTCGGCTGCTTGGGTGTTTGCATTGGCACTATCATCACAGCTCTGTCTACGAATCTGTCCATGTTCATCGGCGGACGCTTTGTCCTGTCTTTCTTTGCAACTTGCGCCCACACCGCAGCGCCGCTCTACCTCGTCGAGATCTCGCCTGCTGCATATCGAGGAACGATTGCGGGAGCGTACAACACCTTCTACAACGTGGGCTCGATCCTAGCTACGTCTTCCGTCTACGCGTGCCACCTCCATCTCGTAGATCGTGGTGATCTCGACTGGCGCATCCCTCTATGGCTTCAGATGGTCTGTCCCGGGATGGTTTGTTTTTTTATCAAATTTTTTCCAGAATCTCCGAGGTACCTCATCGCCAACGACCAGCACGAGAAGGCGAGGGAGATCATCACTAAATACCACACCAACGGTGATGCCAATCATCCTCTTATCACGCTTCAGATGAAGGAGATGCTTGGCACGGTCCAGGGAACTGATAAAGCCACGTGGAAGGACCTTGTTGACCTCAAGGTTCTTGTCGAGACGCGGTCGAGCCGGTACAGATTGATGCTTAATGTGGCATTTTCCTGGTTCGGGCAATTTAGCGGGAATAAGTACGTCGTATGGAGGTCTGTACAACTAAATGAGAGCCACCACTGACTTATGCCTCTAGTATCATCAGTTACTACCTGCCTCTCATGCTGAGCGGCGTTGGCATCACTGACACCAACACGAAACTAGTAAGCAACTCATACACATTCTATTTGGGCACAGGTAAGGCTAACTTCGTTGTAGATTCTCAATATAGTTTACTCTGTCATCGGCTGGGTATTTTCAGTGGCTGGGGCTCGTCTGCACGATATTGTCGGACGTCGAAAGATGCTGATGGGCAGTACTTTTGGAATGATCATCTGCCTTGCTCTCGTAGCTGCAGGCGCAGCCGGTAAAGTCGTGTACGGAAATAGCGCTGCTGCTACAATGTCGATCGTGTTTATTTTTGTCTTCGGGGCTGTCTTCGCCACCGGTAAGTCTGCAAAGGTATCGTTATTATAAACACCCCGACAGACAGCTAATGTTGGAATAGGCTACACTCCAATGCAGCCCATCTATCCGGCCGAGGTGGTGTCCAACAAGATGCGAGCAAAGGCAATGGGAACGTTCAAGTTGACCGCCGGCGCGGCTGGGTTCTTGAACACGTTCGTCGGCCCGATCGCACTCAGCTCGATCGGGTACTGGTTCTACGTCTTTTTCGCATTCTGGGATACGTTGGAGTTGGCGTTCATGTACTTCTTCTTCGTCGAGACTAAGGGGCTGACGCTGGAAGAGCTGGATGCGATATTTGAAGCGGATAACCCACGGAAGGCAAGCGTACAGGCTAAGGAATTGCAGAAGAGGATCATGGGAGAAAAGGGGCTAGCCTAGATTTTCATTGTTGGGAGTAGGTAAAGAACTGTCCCCTTCGGAATAATGCTGATGCTGCTGGCTTGCTTCGGGGTCAGCAAGTTATTCGGACTTGGTTCCGTGGCCTTTCCATCATCGGTAGCTTGTCTCGAACTGTCTAATTCGCACTCACCTCCTTTAGGGGTTGTACGCTTCTATAGCCGGCTAAACGTCGGTTGTACATGCCCAGCACAGCTTCTAGCATGGCTTCTGGTATAACATAATCCGAAATAAGCACCGAAAATTCAGCTGACCCGATTGGCACAATTGGCTAGCGCGTTAGACTGTGTGTTAATCTTGGCCCGATTACAATGTAATTCTCACTAACAGTTTACTTAGTTTAATCTAAAGGTTATGGGTTCGACCCCCATATCGGGTGATGCATCGGGTGATGTCACTTTTTATGATATATGTTCCCTGGGTATTAGTAGCTTTTTTGGGCCTCCTAGACATCGTAACTAATGCACATCAACTGATATATCATTACCTACTTATGACCTGCTGGGCCTATCAGGCTACGGCAGACTATAGCGGAATAGGGGTGATGGGATTAAGCAAGGCTTGGCTCAAATGGTACCAGACACACACTAAATCATAACCTTTGATACATGTCCTTTTCTTGCTCTCGGCAATCCCTAGCTTAGGTACCTATATAGGTACGTAGGTCGGTTACATATTTGATAACTGTATTTCACTGGACGAGCCGTCATATGAGCAGGAATCGTAGCGGCAACCGTTGACACGGGACTCAGGCGACATCGAGTTGAAGGTCCAAATAATACTCATGCAAGGCTTATGAAAAACAATGTTCTGTTAGTCATGATAGATATTATGGGAAAGAAGATGCTTCAAAACGTTGTTCTTTGTATCGTCCCACACAAAGCCGTATGTTCAGAAGCCACAACTATCTATAAAGTTCCGGCTACGATTGTGAAACGCGCCTAGCCATCACCACTTTTCCTGGAATCAGCTACTTGCCCAACTCCCTGCCTTACATATCAGCAACTATGAGTTCAGGTAAACGTGCACCATCAACTCCCCTTTATCCTAAGAGTTGCTCGCACACAGGTAAAACCGGAGAATGTAAGAGAACCCCTCTTCCTAGAAAGCAGTTGTGTTGGCAGCACTCAAGAAAAGCCCGAAAAGAACTGGAATCGAGGACTCAAACGCAGGAAGCCAAACATACCTCCATTCCAGGTTCTGAGACACTCTTAACCCCTAACAATGCCCGTCGCATAAACAGGGAAAAGGAAAACCATCAGGGGAAATCTGGCTACCAACGCCAAGTTTCCTGTATGGTCCCCAGGTGCACGAATCTCCAGGCCGAGAATCAAGTGGTTTGCGACGAGCATTCGAGAATCGCGGCAGATCATGTGAAGTTGTGTCGCTCGCGAAGGCAAGAGTTGTCTTCTGCAAATGAAGTCGCCAAGCAACCCGTGATTCCTGTCATTGTACCAGATATCATAGATCTGACGGTTTCTGGTGATGACGAATCGACTGCTAACGAGCCAGAAAAGCCAAGCAGTTCACAAATGAGCCAGGATACTGTGGAAGGGGCAGATGCGTTACTCTCTTTAAGGGGTCCTGTGCAACTACCCAGTTTTCAGGAGTTTCTCGAAATGTGCAAGACTGCTGAAGTATCTGATAGACTGCCTAAGGTGCCTAACTTGTGAACCCAGAGAATTACGCTGTGGTAGAATCCAGGTAGCTAGATTAGTGTGAGATCTATACCACGTACCGGAAGAAAGGGAATAGGTCCCTGGAAGGTAACATGCCTTGGTAGTCAACAGCGTAAGTAGCTGCATATGTACACCTGGATCTAAGTGTCCAACCGTAGTTTGCCAAGATACACCAAAAATAACATCGTTAACTCTTGATATAAGGTAAGATGAATAGCTAGTGGCAGTATCCTTCCTGGACAGTGATGTGTATGCCTAATACAGGCAATACGCATATGAACAAATCACTACAGTATCCTGAACCGTGAAAGGTATATCAACTTATTACATGGCAACCAAGGACATGTGCATCTAGGTGAGACTTGTAGTAGGACTTACAACTCAAGTACCTGGGTCCTAACCCTATAACTATAGCTCTCGTGGTTCCGAACTACTTCATCTTTTAGAAGTTAATAAGTATTTGATCCATGATATCATTGATGTGCTTGTGATATATTTTCCTTGGGGACCTGTATGAACATTCTATTTTATTACGAGGTTATCTAAGAGTAACTTGCTAGATTACGCTCGTACATGTGTCAGTTTTCCGACCCGAAAACAACGTATTGTCGAGCAATGTACTATTTACATCGGGTAGGTAAGCCTTGAAGTATTGGTACAACTCTCAGTTGTGCGGTGAAACTCAAACAAAGAGCCTCAATGAAAGGGATCAAGACCGACATAATTTGATCGATTTTGATTCTAATCAGATGCTGTTGTAGTACCTCCCTAGTCTTATGCTTTGTCATGAAACAACTCATTTCTTTGTGAGGTCATTACCAATATATTAATCTGTAAGCTTCCTGGCATCATGAAGTTGTGTTGCCATCAGCAACAACATCTCGAGGCAATCATGGATCATCAAGCAAAAACCGCAGCTGATACAATAGATCTCCCACCATCTGGCCAATCTCAGAGTCTGGAAAGTGCCGAGCCGCGACCACCATCCAACACTCTATTCGGCCAAGGCAAACCCCCCTCTCCCTTTGGTACACGTACCTGCCAGCACCATCATGAAAGGAACAAAAAGAGATATCTGGAGCAAAGGGAGGTCAATGGCTCCAGTCCTACTTGCATTATGAGGACCTGTTCTAGGCCTCCGGCCTCTAACAGTAAAATGTGCCAGCATCACACAGACGCTGCAAGAGAACGATATCAGAGGGACGTAGCCAGATACGAAGCCAATCCGGGAATTTGTACGGAGTGTGGTATTCTCCGGGTCTCTGATGGGGTTAAGTGTAAAAGACATTTCAGGGAAGAGGAGCGAGATCTGAAGCGGCATGTCGAGGAGAGTAGAGACAAGCAGAAGTGCACAGGTGGCGCACCGGAGACTAAGGCGACAGAAAGTCTCCCTATGTCGCTAAGCCTGGCTAACTATCCCGCCACTCTCGGCGACAACGTCATGTAACCGAGAGAAATAAAGAAAGGGTGGCTTGAACTGTAACTTAGAGTCCGTGCGCTTTCTGGACGACCCTTCTTTCCTTCTTGAAAGTTACGGTATGCTATTTCTTTAGAACGACGCTAAGGGGAAATAATGCTGTTTCCTCATATTACATAGTAATGAAAGCTTAGGAAGAAAGAATGGCTACTGAAATGATACATACGTCCTTGCTCTGTGCTGATCCTCTGCTTGTCTTCTGCTTGTCCTTTTCTTGTCTTGTCCTCGTCCTCTCTCCTCCTATTCTCTCCTCCTGGTTTTCTGTATTCCATATTGCCGACCGTGTTGAGAGACGATCTTCGCTGATCTAGCTCATTCTTCTCTTTCTGCCGCTTCTGCCACCAATGTGGCAGGTAATAACGAGAAGAATTGGTCGGTGGGGGTTCAACCGGCCCTCACCCTGCTCGCCACACTCGCCTTTGGGGTGATAGCCTACATGGCGTACCGGTCGTACGTACTACCTACCTTTAGAGGGACACCCGGCGGCGGAACGTATGCACAAAGCCCTGAAGAGAGCTGGGTTCGACCAAATTGACGAGAAGCTGATCGAGTTGATCAATAAGTATTGCCACCAATGTCAACTACACGGAACTGCGCTGGGACGTTTCAAGTTTACCTTGAAAGACGATGTTGATTTCAACCACAGTATATATGTTGACGTCATGTACCTGTTAACCCCGAAACTTGTGGCTCAAAGGCTTTCGGGATAACCAATCTCGGATCAACAGGAATACCCTGAGAAACATTGCAACAGGCGTCGACAAGATCGCCGGCGGTGGCAATAATATTGTTGATAGCATCAAGGAGGTTGCCGGGAGCATCACCCAGGCCAACGCCACCAACGCCGCTATTACCGCCCTCTCTGACGACCTGCGTAGCCTGCGTGATGAGGTGCGTGGCCTCCAGGCAGAACTCGAAGTCAGCTGATGCCGCTGCCCTGCCGACGCCTCTGTCCCAATCCTCCTCCTCCTGCCGCCGCCGCCCTTTCGCCGGCTTTCACCCGCTCCCGCTCGGCCGACGGTCCGAGCTATATGGCACCGACACGGGCATCAGCGCGTCGGGCCGCCAGCTTCCAGCTTCCCATATCTGGCAGTGACAGCGACCTGCTTCTTACTCCCGACCAACCTCGATCGACTCGGCTATGTTTCTCTACCAGTTCTACTTTTCCCTTGAAGTGCTCTCTCTCTGCACCGACCTCCGGCGGTGGCCAACCTTCTTGGCAAGCTCCTTTGGCAGCTACTGCTGCTCGTATTGAGATGGGAATCAGGATTTGGAGTGCTGGATTGACCTGGTCAAGGATCTTGTGGTTTCGTGCACTTATGGGGACCATCACCTTATCAGGCAGTATAGTGGACTACGAGTGTTGTTCTACTCAAGTGATACGATCATCACGGCAGAGAGCAGCCTCCTCAGCGATACGAGTCTGTGTTGTGGCCGAAGGAAAGGTACAGATCTGCAATCACGAGTCTATACGATACAGTTGGGTCAAGGATCTGAAACCCTTCTGTATGATTGAGGATTGGTGTGCCTATCTAACTTGTATTCTTTCTTCTGGGTTTTACCTATCCAGCAAAGCTTGCTCATATGATTGGAGGTCGCACACTGGAAGCAAACATGCTTGAATAGCCTTGCCTGCTATGAGCTGAGTTGTCATCCGCCATAGTCCGCATCAAGAGGTGTCTTACGCGTTCGTCTATTTGTAAGGTGAATCGATAGATAGCCTTGTCTGGGAAGCTGGATGGATGAGGGTGTTTGCAGTTAACATCAGCTCCTGCTACTTTCCTGCTGCCATTGGCTTTGGGGCTGGTAGGCACATGCTCAGCCGACGGAACTTACAGTTTGCTGTTGGGGTATACCCTTCAAACAAGTCATCTCGTTAGCTTATAATCACACCGACTGTTTGGTGTGTTGCTGGAATAAGGACGATGGTGGTTTTATGGTAGCAAGCGTCAGGAACCACATTATCAGAAATGGGCCACCTAGACTCATCTTCGCTCTGCGTCATCGCTTTAAGCTCCCTGTGTCTCGCGAAGAGGCTTGGAAATTGAAGTCATTGTAGCTGATCGTGTATTCTGAAGATATGTAAACGCCGCGTAAACCTATGCACGCATTTGTGTTTCTCGATTATTTACTCAAGTAATTCTATTCGACCCATCAAAGTAATCCTGAAGGAAGTATCTTGTGCATTGCTTCTTAGAGGTACACAATCGGTATGTTATATAT